AGGCCAGGCTCGAGTTCAGTGACGCCGGCGCCGGCGATCGGGGGTTGGGGGGCGGCGTTCTTCGTCTCAAGGTGTAGGTTATAGTTTGAGTCAAATTATGCTCTTTGGAATCAAATTTATATATTTTACTTGCTCTCTGTTATAAAGGGTATAATTTAATAAAGAAACCTCTGGTATTCTTTTAGGAACATTGGGGCCATAGTGTGCTGTCTCATGGGAAATTACTATATTTTTTAGAGCACCATACTAAGATTCTATGTCGTGTAAAGTCGCTAGGTTCAGTGAATGTTGTAAGATGCAATGTACTGCAGGTTGCTAAGCTAGGGAGTGGTTTGAACCATAAGGAGTGTCCTGAATTGTATTTTTTGCCGCACCTATGAGGATTGTCTTGTGGGTGAGTTTAAGACGATTAAGTTTGTGATTTTGCCGAAGATTCGTGGCGGTTCTCTTTTGTGTATTATTAAAAACAAAATAAAATGCATAATGGATTACCTTTTATGGACTGCAACTGGAGGTGTTGCGCGTAAAATTGCGTATTAGGAAGGAGCTTACGCGTACTTCCCTTTTGCAAATCATTTCACCACAGGGAACATAGTCTGAACAGTGGATTGTTTCTCAAAATGAACACAAAGCAAATTATACAGAAAGGTGATGATATTTGGGTGGTGTACCAACGCGTATATGTTTTGTGATACTAAACTCTATCCACCTTTGGAATTTTCCCAATCTATGGGCTTTTAGAGGGTTGCTCCTTGGTTAAATGCATTTTAAGTAAATTAAAGAAAGGTAGGAATTTGGAAAAATCATTAGGCGTTATGAGCATACACAGTAGTTCTTTTTGTAGTTGCCTTTATCAAGAGATCTCATTGTAATTTAGTAAGACATCTGTATATACGTGGTTATCAGGATTCAGGACATCTCATGGTCTATAGCCAATCTCATTTTGATGCATAAAAATCTCTGATAACAATGATGATATGCATGAAAGTTAATTTGAACGAGTGACTGGTTGGTATTTCTTTTGTACAAATCTTCATAATATTTCCTATTCCATGCCCATAAATCCTCTATTGCCTTTGATATTTCATAAAACAATCACGGGTTGAGGAAGTATTTTTGTCTGTGATTGATGGAAGAAGAATCACTCATATTTTCATTTATCTTGTGGAAGGTCACTCGAGGAACAATGAATTTTTCTCCGGGCTGTCTGCTAAGTAGATTTCTGATTCTATCCCTTCAAACATGCTCTGACAGCTGTATTGGATCTTACACCGCTATCTATTGGCTTTTATGTTGGTGGTTATTGCGAGTGAGGTGGTGATCTTTCTTCCAGTTTAGGTTGGCGAATTTGTGCCTTCACAATTGAATATGCAGATTCTGATGCATCTCTCAATGATTGATGGAGTTTGTTAATCTGCTAGATGATTGATTTTTCTAAGCCACTGTGATCTCATATTTCTTATTGGGCTCTTAAAAGTGAGATATGTGTTGGATCACCATAGTTATAGCACAAGCCTATTGTTTTAAATTTTATTCCTTTTTTACTTCTGGTGCATGTTATATCTTTGAGAAATTGTATCTAGCAATTAGTTTTCTCCTGGGAGCGTCAGTCACCAAAAAGATATGATCGGTCATTATCATATATTCTTGATCAGCCAATGGAATCATGTTAGGATTGCCATTAACCTGTTTTTTTTTTTCTTTTCAATTCTTCCTTTTTTTTTTTCCTTTGGAGAGGAAGAGTCTTGGTTCATGACCTCAATGCTACAACGTTGTTTATTAACTAAATGGAAGCTGTTCTAAATTTTGTAGCAGAAGTTGTTTTCTGTA